TAAATAACTCAATAACTAGAGGTGATATCAAAAAACGAAAAACAGATCGCCTTAAAGAGAAGGAAATTTCTGAAAAAAAGTCTTGACTCTCGGAACTGTATAGCTTTCGGAAACAGTAATTTTTATTTAAAGTCGAAATAGGGTTCCGCAAGACTGCTGTCGTATTTTAGTATCGGAACGGCCATGTGACAAAGGTCACGTGAAACCGTGTTTTCAACAGTAAATAAAAATTACTGTTTCTGAAACTACAGTTCCAGGAGTTGAGACTTTTTTCAGAAATTTCCCCCTCTTCAAGGATCTTTTTTTGATTTTCGATATCACCTACAATTATTGAGTTATTTACGAAAAACTAAGATTTTTTATTTCATTTATGTATTTTGTTAATAACAAATTAAAATTTTTATCAAAAAAATAAAAGTCGAAGAACATTATTTTCAAAATTCAATTTCGCATCGAATGAGCAATTACTCATATTTTACCACAATTTCTAAGATTTTTCTTAGGAAATTTACACAGGATTCTCACAAAAGTGTTCGTTGCTATGTAACATAGTAATGGTTACCTCTAAAAGAATTTAAGGAATTATCGAAATTCGTTGTGACTGTGAATATTTATACAATTTCTAAAATAATTAAAAGTGCGTAATACAAACACTAATACCCGCAATTTCAATCCACTGTGTACTCAGAAAAGCTATCGGTTTGGCCGTCTCGTTTATACTGATGTTTTTATCCGCTTTAATACCATTTTGTAACGCTACTATTCCAACTTCTATAGGAATATCAAGCCCCTCAAAATTGAGTTTATAAAGATTGCACTGTACGGAAAAAAAAAAAAAAAATTAATAAATCAAATATTGTTATTTTCGAACAACTTTTAGTATAATTTTTTAATCATATATAGAAGACTTCTACTAAATTTGGAGTTTATAGGAGCTATAGCTTGGAAATTAAAAATTTCAATTGTTAACACCCACCCCCGCAAACTCCTGTGAGGTATCTTAAAATTCGTTCGTATATTATTTCTACATCTCTACCCAATTGGAGTCTGTAGGAGCTATAGATTGAAAATTAAAAATTTTCATTGTTAATACTCACCCCCGCAATCCCCTGTGGGGTGAGATATCCTAAAATTGGTTTATAAATTATTTTTCATCACTTCCAGAAAATTCTTACAAAATTTGTAGTCTGTACAATATACAAATATTCGTTAAACAATAAATATGTACTTCTTAAAATTCTATTACTTAATGATAAATTAAGTTTGGATTTCCCATTGAATGGCCGAGGCTAAGTTACTCAATTCTGGCTCAAGTATGGGTTGCCATTCAACGGCCATGGCTAGGCTTCCCAGCCTTGGCCCAGGCTCGGGTATTCATTGGGCCGGCCAAGGCTTGGTTGCCCGGTCTTGGTCCAAGACTGGGTTCTTTTGCCTCGGTCATTCTATGGCGAACCAGTCTTGGCCTAACTCTGGGTTCTGTTACTTTGGCCATTCTATGGCGAACCAGTGTTGGCCCAACGCTGGGTTCTCTTGCCTTGGCCATTCTATGGCAAACCAGTATTGGTCCAGGCTCGGATAATCATTGAGCCGGCCGAGGCTTGGTTGCCCAGTCTTGGCCTAGGCTCGGGTTATCATTGGGTTGGTCAAGGCGATTACCCAGTCTTGTCCCAAGCATGGGCCAATATCGGTGTGTCAAGCTTGGTTGCCCAGTACTGGACCAGGCATGGCTCCGTCATTCAACTCTATCAGTTCCTACATGAGTTGGCCAAACTTAGATTTTGAATACAATTTGGACCGATTCGGACCGGTCGTTTTTGAGAAATCTCATAAAAACTACAAAAAAAAATTTTTTCAAATGTGGTTTCCTTGGAATAACTTGTATACGGCTTTACCGATCGATCCCAAAAACTAATATCGTGAAGGAGATATCGTGAACGAAAGGAAACCGAAGAAAGTGTTTTCTCGGAATTACTCTGAAATTCCTAGTTTGATCAATTAAAACTTGAAAATTCTTTAAGAGGCTGGAAAAACTGTGTTGAATGCTGCCAACCGCGTGAAAATCGGTCGATTCATTTGAAAGTTATTGCAGTTTGAAAATTCAATAAATAGTTTTCTATGAAACTTCTAGCAGATTTTTGAGCTCACAAAGCTCAAAAGTACAGAAAAGCTATCTTTGTGAGCTCGAAGAGCTCAAAAACATCATAAGTGCAATTTTAAGCGGCTAGATATGGAATTAGCGGGAAGTTGCAGGGATGGCCTTTAGGGTCAACAGTTTTCCTAATTTTTTTTTCATATACAAGCTTTGTTGACATTTGAATTCAATTTTTCGGTGAGATGTAACTAATTTGTGTTTTTTCATTATCAAAGATAATATATTTTGAGTTAATTATCCATGACAATCTCATTAAAACTTTCATTCCACTTAAAATAAAATTTCTGCATAAATAATTAATTTAATTAGATCATCATTTAAAAATTAATGCTAATTACAGGTAACTAACTGTAGCATAGCTAAAGACTTAATGTCTTACGAGGCGTTAAAAAACAATGAATTGAAGTGCAGCCCTGTGATCCGATTATTTATGAATACTACATCCGTTTCTGAGCGTTTGCTCTGAGTTTTATTTCAAATAACCTTCAAAACAATATTGTCTCTAATAGTATCGAATCGAATGGTAAAAAGTTTTATCAATCTACAAGACATATTTATGCAGAATAACACTTCAAACCTGTTTGAAAGTGAATATAGTGGAATATCGCAGGATTGTTATTAATCTGGCGTCGAGTTGAGCACAAAGTTATAAAGGAGCTTAGGAAATGAAACACGAGAAACCTTCCATTAGATTTACCTTTTCTTTTTCTTGTGACACCCTTTTATTTCTATACACCCTGCGTGTCTTATGTTTTACCGGCCATTATCTCTTTTTTATTGGACAACACTACCCTTAGGCTCTATACCTTTGCCTACTCCATGTTCAGATGAAGATGATATAACAGCCACAAGCAACCAGAAAAATTACAAGATATATATGCACGTATAGAATATTCGCATCGTACAATGTTAGTATACAGCATACTAAATATGACTCTGATATTCTTCTGTGTTGTTTTTCATTAAGCGAATTAAAAAGAAATAAATATTCCATTTTTATAATTATTACTCTAATGTGATACTTCAATAAATTTGAAAGTGCGTTCAGTTAGTAAGTAATTTCTATAAAAATACTAGTAATCAAAATTTTTTCGGTTGTATCAGGGTAGCGCAAAAAAATCTATTATTTTTTACGAATCTTCTATGAAAATATGTTAGTTTATAATTTTTTAAAAATCCTCTTAAATACCAGCTCGATGGAGAAATTTATGAAGAGTAATTGAAATGTTTTCAAACGACTTCGAAATGTGAATGTCAACAAAACTTCAATTAAAAAAAAAAAATCAATTTTGAAATTTTTTCAAATTTTAAGTAGCCCTTAGTGATTTTTTATCGAGCTGATCTTTAAAAAGGAATTTTAAAACGTGATCAACTAACATATTTTCATAGTAGACTCATAAAAGATATCTGTGCCACCCGAGTACGTATATTGAAGATATTCCAGTTCATTTATTATTTTCAGATGCCATTTTAGGTTCAAAAAATATTGTGAAAAAGAAAAAAATAGACTCATAAAAAATTGATTTGATTGTTTATTTCCACTAAGTTTTAACTCTTTATATAAAAATTTTTTATTTGCAATATAAAAATTTTGTAAGAATATTTATTATTTTCACTCGTGACTTTTTTATATCACAAGCAATAAGAATATTTCGCGAATCTGATGAACAAATAAGTATTGAATAAGTACATCTATAAAATATACGCTTCAGCATTATTCAGCTTTTACACGTATTATTCTCTGATGGTTTTATTTGCTTTGCCTTTTTGAGCTTTATTCTTTTATTCACCACAATATTATTCTTACGAGTGATCCGATGCAACGATAGTAAAAACCAAAAAAGCGATGTAGCATAGCTATTTCCACCATCTTACGTATAGCTGTATAAAAAACGTCACTGAAAAATACTAGGGGACATTGATAGAGACTCTAGTTTCTTCTTTCACTTGCAATAAATGTCGAGCAATTTTTCTACAAGCACTTTTCTACCAGTCCATTTCTAGTGAAAAGCTTTGGCTATATATTTTTAGTTCTTTCGACAAAAATATGTTTGCAGAGAATTTTAGAATTGTTTGAAAAATAAGTGGGTGGTGAAACTCCAGAACCAATTATTTTAACGTGAAAGAACATTTATGTAATCACTAGAAGATCAGAAAGGGTAAACAACTTGAATTTCATTTTAAAAATAACAGTCTAAAAAAATATGCTTATACTGTTGATAATATTTCATCGGTAAAATTCCTATGTTACAAACATAGTCATCCTGAAAAAATTTTATGTTGTATTTAACGGAATCCCGAGTTGGAAGTAGATGTCATGTCCCACCACCTCTTAGTAACCTACGTAACACAGATCATTTGACACCACAGGTTAACCTGTCCAAGCTCTGTAATTCCTGAAGTGGCTGGTAAGGACATAGTGGCTGTACAACATTACAATAAATTGTTTTTTCATACATTTTCAATAAAATATTCCATACTCTGATAAAAAAAAATTGACTTGACTCAAGAGCCAAACTCTTGAACCAAGAATTCCATTTTGAAGAAAATGATTTTTCTTTGTACCTTAGTCGAAAGTACGCACTTCCCTCTCCAATTTTAAGGGATAAAGTCTTATTTCCCTCCCCTGGTGGGATTACACGCGCCTCACTTATATCGCCGGGAGCAAATAATTTTTTCGTGTCTACAGAAACAGCCGGCTGCTGCGATCTAGTGATCGCCTACCACTTTATCAATAAAATTTTTCACCATAACCTCGTAGATCGTTGTTTTATGTCTGCGTCAATATTGTTTTGTCTCGTTGTGTGTAATATTCTAATTAAAAAGTGTACTTACAATTAATAATAAAATGACTGATAAAGTTTCATCAGATGAATCTATGGTCGAGGAAGAGGTGATAAAGGACTTTGACGCGGAGGCAAAGTTAATTATTGAAACAGGAATTTCACCGAAAAAATCAGCTAATAGATACCAAATGGTCTACGAAAGTTACAAAAAATGGCAAACTGAACATCGAAATTCTCTTTCGGACTTGGAAGAAAGTAACTTGATCGTGTATTTCACAGAGTTAAGTAAAAAATTAAAACCGCCAACATTGTGGAGCATCTGGTCTATGTTAAAGAAAACACTTAACGTAAAAGACAATGTCGACATTAGCAAATTTCATAATTTTAAGTGTCTGATTAAAAACAACTCCAAAGGTAACAAGCCTAAGAAATCGTATGTGTTCACGTGGAACGAGATCATGAATTTTATGAACAATGCACCAGATTTGGTGTATTTAGTTGTAAAGTGTATTTACGAAAAACTTTATTAATTAATATGACACTTAAATTAGCCGGCGTTAAATATTTTTTAATTTTTTTTATCAATTAAATTATATGTAAAAAAATATTTTTAAAAAATTACACGTATAATTTTTTAAATTTTTTACATGTGAAATTTTATCTTTTAATTTTTTGTAATAATTTTTTTTTATTAAAAAAATTATAAAATTTTCAGATGTCGGCTAATTAAATTTTCCTGTAATTAATAATTCAATTAATCAATTAATTATATTAAACTTTTATTTGTATCATAATTTAAGGTTATCCTCGTATTTGGCATCTGTGGGGGACTAAGATGTGACGAAATTACTGAATTAAAGGTACAGGGTGTAGAAGATCTTAACAATAGGTTTCTTGTGTCCACATCATCGAAACAAAAAATGATAAACCACGCCAATTTATCGTCGGAGAGCTTTTTTACCGAAAAATCAAAGAATATATTTCGTTAAGACCGACTGAATCATTTACAGATAGATTTTTTATACAATACCACAATGGGAAGTGTCAGCGGCAAAATATTGGTAAAAATAAAATTGGTGAAACACCTCAAGTGATTGCATCGTATTTAAAATTATCAAACCCCAAGCTGTACACCGGACATTGTTTCCGCAGAACCGGAGCGACACTTCTATCGAACTCAGGTGCGAACATCACCATGCTAAAACAACTAGGAGGATGGAAATCTACGAGTATTGCATAAGATTAGTTTTTTGTTTTTTTTTTAATAAGTTTATAAATTATGCTTATTATTTACAAATAATTTATTTATTTACAGGTTATGTGGAAAATTCTCTGATGAATAGATAGAAAATTTTCGATAGCATTATCCATGCAGCTACACCTAGTGATCAGTTCAGTCCTCAACCATCAACCAGTGGAGACGATTCGGTTGCAATAATTGATAAAAATATCAATGAAAAGTCTCAGCGCGAAGAAGCTGAATGTGATAACTTCGATAATTTTGATATGAATGATGTAGATTTAGCAAAAATTGACGAATTATATAAATCAAAAATATCTGATTCACCAGCAACATTTTTTACAAGTGCAAAGAGCAAAAAAGTACTTACTTCTAATAACAAATCACATTTGCCGACGCATTCTAGTCTTAAATCACCTGTTAAAATATTTTCTAAGGAGTCAGAAAATATACCACCGTCAAAAAGATTCAAACCTGACGCTCAAATTCATGGGTATAATCAATTATCGGATTCTCAATCAATAAAGACAGCAGCTGACAAGACTATTTGCAATAGATATGAAAGTTGCGTTTTTCATGGCAACATTGGTAATAATTTTTATTATTCATATTCTGATTTGGAAAGTATTGATGAAAACGAAGATAAACAATAAATGTTCTATGCCAAAATTATAATAATAATAATAAGCAATAAATGTTTTATGCCAAATAATTTATTTGTTTATGTATTTATTTACATATTTTTATTGACAGGAAAAAAAATCTAGTTCATAGGCGTAAATTTATTTATTTCGGAAAAAGGTAATTATTAATTATTTTTTACTTTTTGTAAATATAGTTGTCTTTTTTTTTGCTTTGTTTTTGATGCCTGCCCCTGCCAACTTGACGCACTCGCTTCGCTCGTGCTTTCAAATGTCGCGAGGCAGGCATCAAGAACGCAACAAAAAAAAAATAAAGTTTTATGTAAGTCCGAAAGAGGCGCGTCGATAGGGAGCAAATGAAAAAAACATGGCTGACCTGTCAGCTGAAGGCAGAACGTGGTTGTGTTGTTTATAGTACTTAAAAATGTAATTAATAAACGTACTTTTGACTAGGTATAAAGAAAAATCGTATACACCACACGGGAAGATAATTGAAAGCCCTGTCCTGCATGATAAGATGCCCGAGGCTTTGCCACAGGGCAGGAATTTCAACTTTCTTCCCTTGTAGTGTAATATACTATTCTTGAGTCAAGATAATAAATTCTTGACTCAAGAAAATTTTCTTAGACCAAGAATAATTTTTTAGCTCAAGAATAATTTCTTAGCTCAAGAATTTATTCTCTTGACTCAAGAAAATCATTTCCTTCAAAATGGAATTCTTGGTTTAAGAGTTTGGCTCTTGCGTCAAGTCAATTTTTCAATCATTGTATATGTAGCAAATTCATAATAAAAAAGCTCAAAAGAGTTATAGAAGGTTAAAGATTATACTCTATTAAAACGATTCAGCGAAATTACTGATTTCAAACAGTGTACTGAGAATACTTAATCGTGCAACGATCTTTCAAAATTTTTTGTCCAATAATTATTGGACTATTGAGAGCCAATAATTAAAAATGATGGTCTATTACTATTAGCGACTAATTAAAAAATAATTTATCATTAAATATAATTTATTTAATAATAACTCTAACTTTGATTTTTTGAACATATTTTTGTATTAGAATAATATTGCTAAAATGTGATAATGATAATTAATAAACTATTAAACTAACTTCTACACATCCATATGCTATCACCGATTCATAAGAGAGCATGATTGAAAATCAAATATTGGGTAAATTGCCATGACTGAATTTCTAATTATTTGACTGTTGCAAGAGTAATCAAGTTGGAGGTATTATTTTTGTTATTTACTCCTATCATAAATGTTTAATACACAAAAAAAAAAAAAATTGTTTGTCTTAAATTTTTAATTGTTATGTCACTTATCAATACATTATGGTCTAGCATGATTTAGAGTTGTTTGCTCTCCAAAGTATACAAGCTAGACTTACATAAGCGAGAACCTAGGAGTGACTTGAAGACCGATCAGAAGCTAACTCTCTCCTTCGAATAATTTGCAAAAGATATTCAGCCTTAGATTTATCTCAGCTGAGAATCTGAACCGTGAGGGCTTTCCAGTAGATTTTGGGGTATAGTTGAAGTTGATTTACCTATGAATTGATTACATACAAAACTCTTGATGAAATAATTTCGTGATTATATATAAATAATATTGGAATTTCTCGTAGATAGATTCGATTATTATTTGAGAAAAAAAAAACTTGGACACACTTGGTATCTTACTATAGTAATTTATGAATAAGAGCTAGTTTTCTAAAGTTTATTTTATAATGTTTCATTATTATTTGTGAGTCGAGTCACATGAGTTGGACAGAAAAAAATAACATAAACAGACTTTTGAGGGTTAAACATTTTTTATAAACATAAATGGATTCGGTGACTCGTGTTCAAGTAGTTTAACTAAAGTCAACACGACCCATCAAGTTGCATCATAGAAATGGTACATCTTCTTGTTTCAGTGAATGAAGGATATTTATCAAGCGCTGCGGGTGTTTGACATCTTAATCCTGGTTAGTTTGAATACCATCGCCTACGTAGCTATGTAACCACTTAGTGTCAGATACACAATTACGTATGTATTTATAACGGTTCATATACAAAACAAAACAATTTTAAATAATAATAATGATAATAATAACTACAAATAGTAATAATAATAATAATGATGATGACTAACGACAATCATAAAATAAACTAGTTGAGAATAAATATTCAAAATTTTTTGTCTAATAGAAACATTAAACAATTGAAGGAGTAAATGAAGATCTTATGGAATATGAATGACGAAGAAATTTTAAAACTAGAAAAATGTTGCCCTTAAAATAATGAAAAAAAAAAAGATTTCTCACAATTGGCCTGCTGGGTCAATCGTTTTCAGCTATTTCATTTTCTGCAATCAATCTTCAAATTATCACACTAATTCTTGTTGTGGAAACATTCTGAAACACTTTATAGACAGTTCAACAAAAAAATAAATCTATTGAAATTTTAGAGTGCTATTAAAAAAGTTAAATCTTATAGTGATCAGTGTGACTTTTATTTGTTAAGTACATTGATTAAATTTTCCAATAGCTATCTCTCAAATCGTAAAAAAACAATAGAGTATTTTTCATTGGAAAAAATGGATTTACAGTGTGATAATTAATATGAAGTAGTAATTATTTTGCAAATAGTCAATAGTCAGACGGACACCTTGGTTCAAAACTTAAATTATGTACTTTTAACAAAACAAAAATTTAGTCCTAGGCGCGCAGTAGCTCATCGGATCCGACCCTTGCTTACCAAAGCATTGAATCGGGTTCAAGCCTGGCGTACACCAATGAATATTTTCAATATTTAAAAGTATAATGCTGCTCAGCCCAAAAAAAATAAAACGAGTCCAACCACAAAAGTTTACTCCCTATCGTAGTCGCTCATGACCTTAGTAGTTTATGCGACTTGAAACAAATAAAAAAAAATTTACTCATAATTTTTCTAGTTTATTTTCATTATTATTTTAATTTTTAAATATTCCTGTTTTAGAAGAAACTTTTCAAGATTACATTTTTCTAAAATATTCAATACTTACTATTTGTCAGAAGAATATCTAAATGCATGTAAAGTTTGCATAACATATCTCACGAGCGTGAAAGACATTTATATAAGCTACTCCTTCAATGGATTTCTAGAAAATATGTAGTTAAGTGCAAATAATTGGAATGGGTGAACGAAGAGATCCGCGATTCGGACAGCTGTCAAAGTCGAGCGTGTGAAGATTGAGTATCCATACGTGCACCGTGACATAAAAGGCCATCAGAAGAGCTCACGGAGAACGGAAGAGAAAACAAGGTTCAGTGAACAGGCGAATGGATTTAGAACAGCAGGATAGAGATAGAGAAGCAAGATCACGAGAGAAAGGGATGCGAAGGCAAGGGGAGACAACACTGATAAATATTTCGCCATTTCTCTCTGTGCTCCCTGGCGAGAGCACAAACATAGGGCGGCTCCCCGTTTCAACCCGAAAGCGAGTTGCTACCTAAGCCTCTGTTCTTATATTCGTTTTTTTTTTTTTTACCTATATTTATCCGTCAGTCTTTTTTACAATCTTTATTTTTCATATTCAATCATATGAAGGATTATTTCTTCAATCTTTTTCTGATATAGTACAGTATTTCTAAATTTGTAAATATTTGGAAAGGACGAACACACAATATCGTCAAATTAACTGTCACACTGAGTCGCAAAAATGATTGTTAGTTCCTGATTCATTTATGATTCACTATAGAAAGCAAAAGATTTCCTTTAACTACCCGCTAAGAAAATTGAAAATTAAAAAAATCGGGAAGTTAGTGGTTTTACTCCGTTTTGCAAAAATCGAATTCTCATTAGATCTCGACGGACGATCTGAGGTCCTAGGAAGCTTCCCTGACTACTCTCGCGAGAATATCACTCTCATGTCTGTATGTGTGTGTGTGTGTGGGTGGGGGGGGAGGGGGGGGTAAGTGAGTGTATGTAAACTTCATATAACTTTTGAACGGTTTGACCGATTTCATCGCGGTTGGCGCTATTGGAAAGAGCTTGGCCAAACTTAGATTTTAAATACAATTTGGACCGATTCAGACCAGTAGATTTTGAGAAATCTTAAAAACACTATAAAAAAAAATTATTTCAAATGCGGTTTTTTTGGAATAACTTTAAAACGGCTATACCGATCAGTTCCCAAAACTACGCAGCTCTTAACATCAAAAAACTACGTCGATCGATGCCAAGCCGGTCAAAACCGGTTGGTTCGTGAGTTATTGTTGACGAAAAAAATCGAAAAAAGTGATTTTTTCGAATTACACCGGAATTTTCAGTCTGATCAATTTGTGTTCAAAAGTATATCATAGAATTTAAAAAACTGCGTAGAATGCTGCCAGTTTGAAAATTCAAAAATAAGTGTTTTATTAAACTTCTATCAGACTTTGAGCTCGAAGAGCACTCTAAAGCTTAGAACAGCTAACTCTTTGAGCTCGAAGAGCTTAAAAACGTCATAAGTGAAATATTAAGCGCTTAGATTTGGAATTAGCGGGAAGTTGCAAGGATGGCCTTTAGGGTCTACCGTTTTCCTAATTTATTTTATTTTAATTTCCAAAAATCGCCTTTTTTTGCTGTCACACTGGTTGTGCCCCTTAACATCGAAAAACCACGTCGATCACCACCAAGCCGGTCGAAATCGGTTGATTCATTCGTGAGTTATCGTTGACGAAAAAAAATCGAAAAAAAGTGTTTTTTTCCGAATTACACCGAAATTCGCTCTGATCAATTTGTGTTTGAAAATGTATCATAGAATTTGAAAAACTGCGTCGAATGCCGCCAACCGCGTGAAAATCGGTTCATTCATTCAAAAGTTATTACAGTTTGAAAATTCAAAAAATACTGTTTCATTAAACTTCTATCAGACTATTGAGTTCGAAGAGCTCAAAACCTTAATAAGTGCAATTTTGAGCACTTAATTATGGAAGTAGCGGGAAGTTGCAGAGATGGCCTTCAGGGTCAACCGTTTTCCTAATTTTTTAAAATAATGATTACTTTATTAATTGTAATTAATATAGATTTCATCACAAGGAACTAAATAAAGAGCTGCTACTGGTTCTTAATAACTTACTCCTATACTTCATACTTATAATGATAAAAAATTTTAATTGTTCCATTATGGCAACACCTTGAATAGGTATAATTATTATCTGTAATGATAATGATTACTTATTAGTACTTAATGATGATAATGATTACTACTATTCAATGTAATTTTATGTTTGAACGGTTTGAACACAAGATGTTGCCATAATCAATAATCGCAAAAAAGAACTCGTTGAAACTAACTCGAGCTAATATAACTCTGATCAGGTTAACTTCGGTTGAATTAATTCAGTGTGGAAGTGTCTCAAGACAAAACAACTCTATATTATGTGATGATAAACAAGTTGATGTTTTTATTGATGATCCTAATGACAATCATCATATCGTTATTATTGATCATGACGCAGATCATTATGATGACAACGGTGATAATGATATTGATCATAATGATGAACATGATCATGATTGTGTACATAATGATGATTATGACGATAATCGAAGTAGGATCCTACAGGTGGGCTATACGATTCTACTACCGGCAATTATCGGGTAAATGTGACAACCTAATTGTTTAAAAGTTCATTTGCTTTAATAACGATAGATATGATATGATATAGATATATAATATGTATGATAGATATAGATAGATAAGATAGAATAGATTCGTAATACGAGACATAAGGGAGCTTTATTTGAAACGATAATTTTTTTTTTTCGCTAACACTGTCAAATATTACACTGTTAAAAATTTCTATTGTAATTTTACAAGAAATGTATTGGAAGCTAATAGGCAAAACATTTATTTAAAATTACAATCGGGTA